GAGCACTTGAACATTTAAAAAAAGTTCAAAGAAATATGGAATGGGTAAAATTATCTGCAGAGTCATTTGTTATTTGGGCTAATACTGAGTTAGATTTACAATTTAATGATGATAGTCCTATAACTGTAAATGAAATATTACCCAATATAAGAACCAGAAAGAAAAAAATGTTACCAGGTGAGATTAGTAATGATATGGTACATGCGGATCCTTTAAAGAAGTTTGAAATAGAAGTTCATAACAGAATATTAGATATAGTTGTTGAGAGTATTAACAAAAGATTTATAAAACACAGAAAATTGTATAATGACTTATCATGTTTGTCACCAAGTTATTTTTCGTWTRTAATTCAAAATGGTTTGCCTGATCAAGCATTGACTACTTTGTGTGATAAGTTAAAAAGTTTGAATTCAAATATAACCTACAACGGTCTAAAGGATGAGTTAATACAWTTTGCAAAAAATTGGGACAAGTTAAAGAAAAGTCTTGCTGAATCATTTGTTACTTCATACTCTTTGGAGCTAACACAAGATGAAGAAGATGACATTGAATCTAAAATGAATCCTGAATCACAAACTATGGCTTGCAAGAGTTGCAAAAACTGTGTTGTTTGTTGCTATAACATTTTACAAAAATATAATTTATATTGTGATGCATATGCTAATTTATTTTTGGCATACAAATATGTACTTACTCTACCATCAACCCAAGTATCATGTGAAAGATCTTTTTCTTTCTTAAAAAATATTAAATCAAGACTTCGTAGTCAGCTTTCGGATCCCAAACTAGAAGCTTTCATGTTAATGGCCATCGAAAAACAGAAATTAACACTATTGGATTCAGATAAAATAATAGAAGAATTACAAAAAGAGAGTTTACTTTAAAAAAAAAATCTGTCATTGTAAATTAAACCATTTTATTTATTCAAATAAAAAATAATTACTAACATTTTATTATGTAACATTTATATGTAGGTAATACTATTGTTATTCCATTATTATTATTTTTATTATTACATTTTATTGTTAAAGGTTGATTTTATAATAACACTGATTACAGTAGACTACTCTTTAAAATACTAAAAAAAATTACTATCTTCAGTATGGTAGGTACACTTGCCAGTTGCCCCCAATCTCCTAACAAATGGTGGGCCGGTAAAAAAGTATTTTCCCGGGCTGGTCTGAAATTCCAATCCGTCCCTGGTTACCATCTATATAACATTATATATTCAAAACAATCAAATAATTTAAAATGTTAGTTGACAGGTATAGGTATAAGTACAATATGCCAGCAAGTATTAGTATATATATATATATATTATACATACCAATATTTTCAAAATATCTTGTCCAATTTCCCTCTCTTGAAATGTAACCGTCAACTGCATAAGAACATTTTATTAAAAATTCTTTTCTAGTAATTATACCAAGGGCTAGTTGATCAGTTGCCGTTTTGATTCGTTTGGAATTCAATATATATTTAGGTTTTATTGATCGCGTGACTTGCATTCCTCTTGCCAGTTGTTCAATAACAATATGTTGTACTTTACTGGAGTCACTTAAATGACCTAAATAAATAACTTGTAACATAAAATTGAAGATCCATATACATTATACATATACAAATATATAAATCTACCTGGATAACTCTTGTAGTACCCATGCCATTGTGCACTTTACCTGAAGTATTACCAGTATCTCTCACAACTCGAGTCGACGTACCCGACTGTTTGGAAGAATGGTTTAAACGTTTTTCATCATATGACCGCATGATTCACGTCACCACCATAATGCGTCGTTTCATCAGCCGGTGCCGTCGTTGTGAGCCTGAACCACCTCCCAATCTGTGTCTGAGTGGTGTTGAGGGCGACGGTGCTACTCTCAGTATTATCCGAGAGTCTCAACGTATCTACTTCTCTGACCTATTACGTGAGTTATCAACTGGTATCAGGGTATCGTCAAAGCCGCTGGCTCGTTTAGCTCCGTTTGTCGACGATGTTGGAATCATCCGAGTTGGTGGTCGCCTTCGTCATTCCACCCTATCGTACGAGTGTAAACACCCAACGTTAATTGCCAAGCGCTCCCATCTAGCCCTATTGATTTGTCGTCGGTGGCACCGCCTAACATGCCATTCCGGCCCCCGTGTCATGATATCACTCATTTTACGCCAATACTGGATCATCGCCATCCGCTCGGTGGTACATGAAGTGTTGACCAAATGTTCTGTATGTGTGCGGTTAGCTGCAAAACCTCCTCAACATTTGATGGCGGACCTTCCTGCTGCACGCGTGCAACAATTCCGTCCATTTGCCCGAGTTGGCGTGGACTATGCTGGCCCCCTTCAAATGAGAGAGATAAGGCTTCGCAAATCTCRGATCTATAAGGTGTATATAGCGGTGTTAGTCTGTTTTTCTATAAAGGCGGTCCACCTTGAAGTGGTGTCAGAATTGTCAACTAATGCCTTTTTGGCAGCGTTTGACCGCTTCGTCGGGCGTCGTGGACTCCCCAGCGAGATATATTCCGACTGCGGAACAAACTTCGTTGGTGCTGACAAGCAATTACAAGCGCTTCTTAACAGTCCGCAAGGTCAGCTCGCCATTACCACCAACTCTCGTCCAAATTGTACATGGCATTTCAACCCCCCCAGTGCTGCGCAYTTTGGTRGGTTATGGGAGGCGGCGGTCCGATCCACTAAGCGTTTGCTGGTTCGTACAATGAGCACCCACGTTTTCACCTACGAAGAGTTCACTACTGTCCTGATCCGCATCGAAGCCGTTCTTAATTTTCGACCACTGACGCCCGCATCCACAGATCCTCACGACTTGGAGTGCCTCACACCTGGGCATTTCCTCATTGGACAACCACTGCTCGCCGTTCCACCTCGTTCCAATCCAGATCCTACCCGTAATTTGACCAACCGGTGGAAGTTATTAGACCAGTGCCATCAAGCCTTTTGGAAGCGTTGGTCAACGGARTACTTGACAACTCTCCAGGAACGCGTCAAATGGACGGATCGTGTCCCCAACATAAAGGTCAACGACATGGTCGTCGTGGTTGACAACCAAGCGCCCCCTTTATTATGGCGTCTCGGGCGCATCATTGAATTGGTGCCAGGACCCGATGGAATTGTGTGAGTTGCGTCAGTGTTAACGCGTCAGGGACGCATCACACGGCCAGTCGTTAAATTAGTGGTACTCCCGACTGACTGAAATGTAGTTTACTCCAGCCCCCCAACGATTTAGTATTAATTGTCTGTTTGTTATTTAAATAATATACGCGTATGAATCTCACACGTCAACATGGCACATATTGAATGCTAGGATCAACATAACTAACGAATGTGGCGGTCACTTGCGATATTCTCGTTGGAGGGGGTTGGGGGAGCTGTATATTGGACTGATTTGTTCAAACACATTTATTATAATTATTTTATGGATCATATCCAGCGTTACCATAATATTTATTTATTTATTTTTTATGTATGTTTTTTCAATGTAAGTATGTTCCTTTTTGTTACACATCTACCTACTTTGAATTATATAAATTTGGTTCAACATCATTGGCGGCATTTCTACAATGACAAGCGGAGCTTCCCATGTTGGAGAATGTTTAAACTGCCGCCTTTTCCAATCGAGACCTCACCACCGATACGCGCGATACCGCCCGATAACAAGTCTCAACCTTTGGACTCCTTCTCCCCCCATGCCCACAACCTGGACGGCTCGGATGTCATCTCCGCGCCGCCAGTCTGCCTAGTGCTTGCAGTCTGCCTAGTGCTTGCGTTCTGACGGTGCTGATATACAGCGGCCGTGCGCCTGGTGTTATAGTCGTGAGTGTCGCACGTGTTACGTGCGCAAAGTACCGCATTGAACTGAACAGAACAATAGTTGTGCGTGATTATTGTCGTGTTGTTTCGGTCGCCGTTCGGAGGATTTGGTCCGGTTGTACATTGGTACCTACATATTGCAATTCAATCCGGCAACCACGTGTGCGAGTTGATCACCGCGCACAGAATTACATAGGCTTACGGTGAAACATCCGTCATTTGTTGAGTAGTACCTATTTGAGTGCGTATACCGTGTTGTTGCGCTAATATCGTGCGATTTAAACGTGGTCCGTTGGTTCGAACAACCGCCGCCGCCGCCGCCGTCAACAACAGCTGATGTCATTGCGTTGTCACCTACCGCCGCCGACGTTATTATCATCGTGGTCTTATCAACGACTATCACTGCCGTCGCCGCCGTGGTATCGTTATTATTGTTTATTGTTCTGTATTTTGTAATTGTCCATAAGGCGTATCATTATTTTTATGATTATAATTGTTATTATTCGTTGACCGTCAAAGAGACGTCTTGCACGGTCGCGACTCTGTACAACATTTATTTATGTACCTTATTATTCAATTTTACACTACCTATTATACATTATTATTGTACCATCAACCTTTGTGTTACCATTTAAGGTCGCAAGATCAATTGTCACCTCACTCCCATACCGACGCGAGTCGTCGTAACTAACCGCCATATGTCGTAGGAGTTACGTCGGCGTCAACAGTTAACATATTTTAAAAAACTTTTTACAATATTGAATATAACATTCAATATATTATAACAATATAATATTTTTCATGGCACGCTCTAAAAAAAAGGTAAATTTTTGGCACGTAGTGTTCAAAAGGTTTGCTACCTATATGTACCTATATATGTGCGATGTGCCTATAGTTTAATAGAAATAACTTCTACAGATTAGAATATTAATAATATTATGTAGAATGCATCAATAGGAAGTTGGTAAGTTAATTAAGGTGGTTCGTCGGTTCGATGAACATAATATGTGTGACGGTCACGTAGTAAATAATAAATATTGATAAATTGTTACTATAAATAGTATATATTATTCAGCATAATAATATGAGTGTATGTAAAATAATATTATTTACATGTAATTTTAATAATTAAAATTAACTTAAATTGTTTAGGGGGGKMCTAATAAAAGGCAATACATATATCTAATATTTTCATGATCCATAGACCATAATATTAATTACTATTATACCTATAATATGTATGAATATATACATTTACATGAATTTATATACAAACTATGTATATGGGCAATGGGGTGATGAAAAATAATAATACCAGTATGACTTAAAACATTTAAATATTACACATTTTACCTAAGTTTATGTATTATGTTATAAATATATGTACAGTTGTTCTATAAATTATGRTGAAATCGGATTTGGTTACCTATAGAGACCAACCCAAGGTGGTTTTATACAACAAGTAGAGGGGATGTATTCGATTTAAATTGTCCGGTCAACACATGATGTGCTGTAAGGTTTGGTYWGATTAAGTAAAAATGACAGGCTTAATATAAGTTTGAAAATAAATTGTCCGTGTATATTTGTTGACAGTAGATAGGTATAGGTACATGGCATTTTGACTGCATGTTTATACTAACATTTTCTATACACCATAACATTTTCAAAATATTTTGAGCTGTTTACAGACATTTTCAGTATCCAATTTTATTGTTTTAGTTAATATTCTATAAATATCAATAAAATGTTATTTGTTGGAGTAATATCATAGGCTAACTGACCGTCTTCGCTCAAAATCGTTTTTCTCATTTAATTGTATTATATCATTGAATTCAAATTTAACACCATCCATAACAGTGACCCACTTGTAACATATTGTACAGCAGAGCGACACCCAMTTTCCCGCCTTATTTTTAGATATTGTTTTTTAAAACGTCTAATCAGATAATATTATTGTATTATTTGTATTTATTTTTTATACCTCAATATTTAAAAAAGCGGGTAAGTGGATGTCGCTCTGCTGTACATTAGGGGATGGAGTGGACCTCTGACTAGGGTGTAAGGTTTCCCTTACGATCGGACATTAATATGGTACCGACCACCACGGATCCGAGACTGGTTAGGTCGGAGAAACGTGGATTTTGATCATATAACAAACATGGTAATTTAAAAATACAGGATATACATTTATTATCGGTATATTTCTTTAACTATAATATGGGTGGCACCYGAAAACTGTGCCTGAGTGGAAAAATATGTACAAATAATAGGTTACCCGACACCTGTGGGGACACCACCACGTTAGCCTGGTCGCAGCCGTGGTTGTTTTGTTTGTCATTGTTGTTGTTGTTGTTTTACTGCATGGCTTGTCCACCCTCGGACTTCCGGGTGACAGTCCTGGCCGATTTAGTTGTTCTACTCCATGGCTGGGAACATTGCAAACTTTTCTCTAAACTGTGTTGCGCCGGTGACCACGGTTTGTAGGTGAAACACGGCGACTGACTGATCGGCAGCAACGCAGTACCGTGGTGGTGGACTTTCAGGTGTATATATATATATAATAAGAGTGCGTTATGACATATTTATTTTTCTTTTATCGTGCGTGTGCGCGATCGGGTCTRGGTACGCCTTATCTCTCCGGACTTTACATTGTGGCACATATCATCGTAACATTATTATATCATATATCCGACCCATAATATATACCGGCTTCAATCTGTACCCGGGGATAATTTAGTCACGTTACAAGGGTAGGTTAAATTTGAATGCAATTGCAATATCATTAATGATAGGTATCATTGTATACGAAAAACGATTCTGAACGGAGATGATTTGTCAGTCTATAGGATATATTATATTTAAATATTGTCATATATTATTCTATTTTGAAACAAATATTTTATTTTTCAATTAGGACGCATTTTGCATAAGGTATGGTTAATCAATTTTTCCAAAAACATTGCATGTAGTTATCATAATTCATAATACCTTATATTATCATAGATATGCTGATAAGCATATACCTGGTTTGAGGATAAAATAAATCGTTATCGTTACGCTATTTCGTAAAAATTTAAAATTCAAACGCACTTAAAATTTTTCCTATAATGATGCTATAGCTACTTGAAGGAAAACTTACAGATAACTTAGTGCTGTATTTTTAATCCTTATAGTTAGGTTAGGTTAGGCTAGTTATAAGCACAAAAGTTTTTATGATTTTTCAATTTCAAAATTACTTGCAAATTTTCACGTTTTCGACAGATTTCGTAAAAATTTGAACTATAAACGCTTATAAAAAAAATTGTTACAAACGATTTTTAATTTTTTTTTAGCTACAATGAGAACAACTCATAAGAAACCTTTTATTCAATTTTCAAGTTTTTTTGGTCATCCAAAATTTTTTTACCGACACTTCAAAAAAATTCTCATAAAAATCGAAAATTTCAGTGGTCTATAAATAACTCAAAAAAAAATCAAAAATTTTTGATTAATTTTTGAAAATTAAACTGCATATAGAAAACACTAACATAAACATTTGGTGAAAATTTCAAGTATTTACAGTCATAAGTTTTTGAATTACAACCATATAAAAAAATCGATTTGGTCAAAAACTGGTTTTGCGTAAAAATTCCCGTTTATCTGTCACTTTTTTTTTTTGGTTTTCTCGATTTTTTGAAAACGTTTTGAAAATGTTTACTTTTGACCTCTATAATGCACCAAGGATATTCACTTTTACATCGAAAACCACCCCCAAAGTTTGAAATTGGAGCATTATTTCGACTAGTTATGCTGCACACAGACACAAAAAAAATATTAACTAATTGTCCGCAAAAATCGAAATCTAGTCCGCAAAATCACGCAAAATATCCGCAAAATAATGTATATAAAAAAATTCAAAATTTCGCATATGTACATGCTGGCGAAATGGAGCTGTACTAGCTCTAGTTCGTTCTCCTTTAAATGGTAAACGAAACTGTTTAGCTTCTACACAAATTCGACAAAACATTCCATCAATAAGCTTACTTAATTTCAGCCCATCAACCATTGAACTCAGTCGATTTGTATATTGATGGTTCATATGACCTAATCGGCAGTGCCATAAATCATAATTACTTTACTTTTCAGATAAATATGCATTTGATTTAATTACATTAAAAACAACTTCATATAATGTACCTTTTCTTATGCCTTCAGCTACTCGACCATTTTTATTACGAATCTCTGCTTTTCCATTATTTAATACAATCGACAAACCGTTTTGCTCAATTTTCCCKGCTGACAATAGATTTTTTCTTAAATGCGGAACAT